GTGTGTGTGTGTGTGTGTGTGTGTGTGTGTGTGTGTGTGTGTGTGTGCAGCAGATTGACTAACAGCTTGAACTTGGGTACAATCCAGGATCATGGAGAGGAATACATGGATGGGTGGGGGGTGGGGGTGGGGGGGGCATTGATTCCTCAACAGAGAGATCAGCATCTTGACATAAAGAGAGGAGAGAGCAACAGAACATGACACACACACACTTTATCACACACACACACACACAGATAAATAACGGGGAGGGCCGCAGTGTGGCCCTCGGGTGAAATTCCATCACTTTGTCATCACGTTTCAGGTTTCCATTACTAAACTAGAGAACGTTCACATCCTGCTAACGCTAACTCTTCATTCTCTCCAGTTTGATTTTTAACATTTTCCTTAAATTAGGATTTTAAAGATTCAGATTAAAAAAAAAAGTTTCTGATCTTAACAGCACAATCGTTCAGGTCCTTGACTTTCCTTGACTATCAAACCGTCAGATATTCCAGGAGCTCCAGGACCGCTGGGAGCTCATGTTGACAGATCAGCAGGAGAGTAGTGTGGTTCAACGCCTGTCTGCCCGCATGCCTCAGTGCCTCTAACGACCCTAATATCCCCGACTGGGACACTGGGGACACTGGTGTGGTTTTGGGTCGGTGTCGCTAACGAGGTGTGTGTGAGTGGAGGTCGTGTGCACCAAGGAGAAGGAGGAGGTGAGAATGAGGAGGGGCAACAAGAGGTCACTCTGTAATTACACATCACAGCCCCTGTGGTCACTCGACTTCCTCTGACCACAGAGCTGCAGCCATGGAAGCAGCTGCAAGAAGTGTAGTAGTCTCAACAAGTAATATTATATTTTAAGTATTTCTTTTTAAACTTCCTGTTGGTTTAATTGTCCACTTTGTGCATTTCTATGATCTTGTGCCCTCTCGGTGTTATGATTCTTAGTGCATGAATCATCTTCAACTGCTCGCTCCAGTCATTCTGCTCGAGTTCAGTCCTGAACCAGGCTCAGAAGTTCACGTACCGACGGTGGGCTTGTTTGGGTGGTGGGTGCCGTAGAGGATGAGCGTAGCTCCGAGCACAGCTCCGGCAGCCGCCTCTTCCCTCGGCCGTGCGCAGCTCCTCACTGTGCCCATGTGGTCAGTCACCTGAAAACCAACACAGAAGCAAAAACTTCACGTTTCCCTTCAAAACAAACCAATCAGGAAAAACTTCTGAACTCAGTGATTATTTACATGAAGCTAGATGAAAAACAACCAGAGGAAATAAAAAAGATGAACAGACAAAACTAATAATCTTATTATTACCACTGCCATGTCAATAAAGCACAAATAAATACTGTATAATTATCAGGCTATAATTATTTTTTATTAATCCACAGGCTGCAGGTGATGTCTTTTAAGACATAAAAGCTTACACATTATTATGTTTCTATACGTTTTTAAAAACTATTTGCAGTAAATTATGAACAAATTAAAACTAATTTAGTACAACGAGTGGGTTTATTTTGAAACATGCATGCATTTTGTCAACCTATCTCTAAAACTTGCCATTAAAAGTGTTACAATTAACTTTTGATTTTATAAAATGCTTTAAACGTCATATCATATCTTGTGCATATGCAGTTTGGATGATGTTGTGTTTAATAGTTCTCAGTGGACACCAGTCACAGAGCATGATCCATCAGCTCACATCCATTCCTGTAGTAACACAGACGTCCTTCAACTGAGACGACATCAAACTAAACAGACGAGTCATATCACAAGGTAGAGGTTTAATATTAGCTAATGTTGCGTTCTTTCACACCAGTAGGTTGTTTTTGAGAAAGAGTTATTTTAAGCCTTAAAAAGCTTCCTTGGCTGGATGAAGACTTTTGCACTTTTCTTCACACTCTGCGCTCCATGACTGATGTCATGTCTGATAAGGGACTGACTTTTGATAACCAGTAGACAAAACACCACTTCAAAAATTACTGGACTATTCTTCTAAATAGCAGAACATCTTTTATAGTTTTAAATTATTTATTTAAAGTAAAAAAAGTTCTGATCTGTAAACAGATATTAGGAACAAGAATCACTGTTCCACTCTGTTTTGTGTAATGCAAGTATCCAGGGCCGCTGAGATATTTTACATGAATGTGTTTCTCAAAGTCAAACTGAAAGGACAGCTAGCAGAAATAAAACCCAGTTGGTTCAGCCACGGTTTACTGTGTAGTTGTATAAATAAAGTATTTCTGCACTCTAATTCAGTTCAGTTTATTTATTTAATTAGTGCCATTTCACAGCAGAAGTTGTCTCAGGGCACTGAACAGAAACAGTCACATGCATAAAAAGCCAATTAGTCAAAGTTATTTATCTGAAGAAAGAAGCCATCAGATTGTGTTGAATCTTCTTTTCGTCTCAGGAAATGTGGTCAATTTGTCCTCCAGCAGTCTAAACCTATAGCAGCATAACTAAGGGATAGATCAGGAAACCCAAGCCGACCCTAACTATAGGATTTATCAAAAAGGAAAGTCTTAAGCCCAGTCTGAAAGCTGGACAATGTGTCAGCCTCAAAAAAACGAACAAACAACAAAAACTAGAAGTTGGTTCCACAAGAGAGGAGCCTGATAACTGAAAGATCTTCCTCCCATTCTGCTTTTGGAAACTCTAGGAACAACAAGTAAACCTGAAGTCTGAGAGTGAAGTGCTCTGTTAGGAAAATATGGAACAATAAGATCTGTAATATAAGGTGGAGCTAGGTTGTTGAGAGCTTTGTAGGTTAGAAGTAAGATTTTGAATTATATTCTGGATTTGACAGGGAGCCAATGGAGAGAAACTAAAACTGGAGAAATATGATCTCTCCCACTAACTCCAGTTAAGAATCTGGCAGCAGCATTTTGGATCAACTAAAGATGTTTTAAAGACGTATTTGGACACCAACAAGATGTTGGTGTTTCTCTCCCATCTTAAAAACTCAAGTTACATTTGATTTCATTTGGTAAAACACTGTAGATATTACATTATTTAGATACAGTAACTGGATGTAAGCTGTAAAATAGTTTCATATAGTCCATAAATAAATAAAGAATCTTTAACATTGCATAATTATCAGGAAAACACGACAAATTTCTATGGGGAGCTGTTTAACGAGGGACGACGGTCAATTTAAACTCAGATCTGCCACAGCAAATGTCTGAAAATGCACGTTTGTGTGTGCGTGTGTGTCAGTGTGTGTGTTCTATATCGTTCTCCGTGTGTGAGTTCATGTGAGTGATGTGAGCAGATCAGGGGCCAGGCATGGCGGCCCCCAGTTGAGAGCAGCATTGATTTGTTGTTGGAAAACAAGCAGCTGGATGCTATAGGTGGATCAATAAGGCCTACATGCCTCCCAGCATGCCTTTCTTCGAGGCTGACATGGCTCTCTGAGAAACCATAACCCTGCTGTCACTGGGAATCTCACGAGTCTAACTCCGAGCAGTTTTTAATTGAGCAAAGGTTAATTTTGCACCTAATTCTAATTAGGATTTAACTCACAGCGTATCATGTTGTTGTGCTCACTGGTGATGCTATTATAAAAGGTTCAAGGTACAAATAAATGGTTAAAACTGAATAAAAACTGGGTAAGCTTTGGTACCACAGGCACACTAAATAGTACTTGTCTGTTGAAATAGTGTGAGAACTACAAGCAGAAACACATCGAGGCTCAGAGGAAGAAGACACCAAACTGACTTTTCTTCAAGAGAGACAAAGAAACTGGAAGGATTAGCAAAAGCAGAATAACAAGAACGCAAGGAACTGATTTCAAAGCCATGGAGAAAGTATGGAGTCACAAAGCAACAAGGTGGGGAGGGATTAGTGATGGGTGAGAGTCAGGGGGAAGGAAAGTGAGAGGAGAGAGAAGATACTGATGCTGAGGAAAACAAACAAGACAAAAAACATCGAAGCAGGAGTATGATGGACAGAATGAGATAAACAGAAACTGGGAGTGAATATTATTCATTTACAGTAGTGAGAAAAGAAGAGAGAGAGAGAGAGAGAGAGAGAGAGAGAGAGAGAGAGAGAGAGAACATTGCTGACAAATACAGACAAGCGTGAAGAGAGAGAGTGAGAAGGAACAACTTGGTGATGTTTTTATTGTTGCTTTCCAAGAAGAGCAGAAGTTAAAGCTGGCTCTTGTCCAGGTCACCCAGGCTGCTCATTTTTTGCCAGCTGGACACATTTAAGATGCTCTGAGCCAAACAAACACTTAATAACATAAAACAGCAGCTTCTGTGGGCAGAATTTCACTGAGTCACCTTTAAAACCAAAACCAGTCATAAACAAAAAAACAAGCTCACAAATGATATTTATTTTTTGTGGGGGGAAGGGAAAATATTTAAATTGCAAAATAAGAATTAAGTTGATTTTAACAAGCACATTAATAACATTCTGACTTGTAATTACTTAGTTTAGGCAATTATTACTTTTATTCTGAATGACTGTACTCTACACATAACATATTTATCAAGATAACAGGTTCATTTTTAATAAACCCCCAAAAAGTAGATGTTGGAAAACTTCAGTTTATATTCTTGTGCAAAAAACAAGAAGTCATCACATCTTGAACAGACCACTCTATTAAAGTGCAGTACTAAAAAGATTGGTGTAGAAGAGGATGTGTGTTCAACAAGCATGAAAGATTGTACTTTGAAGGTGGAGCAATTGAAATAATCAACGAATACAAGTACCCAGGTGCATGTTTTACTCTAAACTATCTTGGTTGATAACCAGACAACATTTATGCTAGCAGGCTAAAAAAAACATGCTTCCTACTGAGGTTTGCCAGAACATATGAGGTAAACCATCAAACCCTTTTCCGTGTTTGATAGAATGGTCTCAAGAGCCAGCTTTGGTAAGGCAGGGTCAGAGTGCCAAAGCCCCATCTTCGGTCACTGCCCATAGTCTCATGCACCCAACTCATATGGCCCCTCCTGCAGGTGGTGGGCCCACAGGAAGGCAAACCCATGTTGCTCATTCAGGCAGAGCCCAACCAGGCCCCATGTGTAGAGACCTGGTCACCAGGCGCTCACTGATGAGCCCCTCCCTCAAGCCTGGCTCCAGGGTGGGGCCCCGGTAACCCCCAGCCAGACAAGGGACTCTGAACTCCTCGCTGTTTTGTGTCCATATATGAGTCTTCAGAATCGCTCATTGTCTGGATTGTCACCTAAAACCAATCTGCCTTTGAAGACTATCAGGGGCAGTTACAATTGCCCCCAACAGCATAGCTCCTAGGATCATTCAGGTGCACAAACTCCTCCACCATGATAAGGTGGCGGTCCGTTGTGGTGAAGAGGGAGCTGAGCTGTAAGGTAAAGCTCTCTGTTTTCTGGTCCATCTAAGTTCCTACCCTCACCTATGGTCATGAACTCTGGGTAGTGACCGAAAGAACAAGATCACATATACAGGTGGTTGAAATGAGTTTCCTCTGCAGGGTAGCTGGACTCTACCTGAAGTCAGGTCTGGATGGTATTGGTGATACCATTCCATCCATCCATCCATCCATCCATCCATCCATCCATCCATCCATTATCTTCCACTTGTTCTGAAGTCGGGTCTCGGGCAGCAGCTGGAGCAGGGAGGCCCAGACATCTCTTTCTACAGTCACCTATTCCAGCTCTTCTGGGAGGACTTGAAAACATTTCCAGGCCAACTGAGAGACATAGTATCTCCAGCAAGTATCCTCCCAGTCAGACTTGCCTGAAGTGCCTCCCTAGGGAGGTGTCCAGAGAGCATCCTTACCAGATGCCTGAACCACCTCAACTGGCCCCTCTCAATGTGGAGGAGCAACGTTTCTACTCTGAGTCTCTCCTGGAAAACTGAACTTCTCACCCTATATTTAAGTCCAAGGAGCCACAGCAAACTGAGTCCCACAAGCACACAAGACTTGATGAGTTCTTTGGATGAAGGATGAAACATTAAAAAAAAACACCCAGATGACCTGACTGAATTTTATGGATTTTCTACCTGGATTATTGAGCATGAACTATGATGTTTTGAACCACTTTGGCCATAGCTGCCTCAGAGGAGTCGACGGGGAGAGGGCGGGCCCCAGAAAGCATCTGTTGTTTTTTTTTTATCAAACTGGTTGGTCCACTATTTGGGTGTGCTGCTTGTGGGACTCAGTTTGT